ACTGTGTGTGACCTTTGGATTAGATAACTTTCAAAAATTGCAGAGTAAGATTTTTCATCTGTATCAGAACTTGGATCTGTGTTGAATGTTGTGCACTTTTGATGCTTCCTCTTTCATGAGTCTCAGACAAATATAATTTGGTTTGCATGCTAGAATGATGGTATTTTTAGATGAGCAGAAGGAGATTAGATAATGCTGCATAGCAGGATTTTAAAATAAGTTCTGCAAAGTACAAATTTCACTATCTAAAATAGCATCCAGATTGCTCTCCATCCTCTGTCACTGGAATATGAAGCTAACCAGATATTTGGTAAGCCATAGTCATGTTATTGATTGTCTGTGGTCTTCTTAAGCTAATCAGAAAAAAAAAGAGCTGATTTTTGAGTGAGGAGTTAGATTCCTATTGGCATTTAAACTACTGGTCAAGAATTTAACAAGGAATGTTGCTATTGTTCCTAATAAATAAAGTAAATGATAATAAGTAAAAAATGGCTATGAGCAACTGGATAGCCCTTTTTTATTATTATTTTTAAGAAGTGTTGGCTGGGTTTCCTATTACTCTCTGCTTTTTATTAAAACAGAAATCAGCCATCATGGACTGTCATGGCTAAATGTTGCCTGACTTCAAAAGTAAATGATACATGGCTAGGACCATCCGCGAATGCCGGAGGGAGTGGTTCACCTCAACTGGCTCTACCCATCTAAAGCTGTGAGTCCAGCCTTTAGGCTCCTTTCCTAGTTGTCAGAGCAAGCCCCACCAGAGGTGGGTGTTTCAGGTGAATCGTTCTCTGGAGTCACCTCTTTGTTGCTGCTTCTACTGGAGAAATGCCGGGTATGGGTCAGGGTGAACAGGTTATCTCCAGCTGGGTCCTTTCCCCAGCAGTCATCACCGCTCTGCTCTCCTCAGCCCCTGATCGTGAAGTGCTCTTACAGATCTGCTGAGATTAGAGGGGCCACCTCCTGTGCTCCTGAGGCCACTGGAGAGCACCCTGCTGCCCCCAAAGCAAGACCCAGACTTGTACTCTATACCTTCTGGAAAGGCAGCCATTTTCTGATGTTCTCAAACAGGCTGGAAGCCCCACGGTTCCTTGGAGGGCTGTCAAGGTGATGAGTCGGCCTGACTGAAACAAGTGTGCCCTAATTCCAGTTTGAGTTTTTCTGGCTTCAGCTTCCAGATACTGGTTTTTGTGATGGCTTTGCTCTCTCATTTAAACAGTCCTTCAGAAGCTGGCATCCAAATTCAGTGCACGATCATGAGCAAGATTCCTGGCAGGGAAACATATTTAAGCATTTTCTTCATATTTCCTTCACTGCCGCCCCCAAGGAAAGTTACGCAGTGGCCACAGTCACCTCACCTTGAAACCTCTCAGATGCTCAGGCATATCTACAAAGTAAAATGCCATCCAGCATATTGGTGTGCTCCTATGGAGCTGTCTGCACAAGAAATGCTACAGGGCCCTGATACCCTTTTTTGTATTACCTATAAACACCAAATCCAGCTCAGAAGCTAAAAGTCCTCTGTCTTGATTTTTTTTAATAGTTTTATGACCGTAATTAACTCAGTGTTTGATGAGGGGGATATGTCTGTAGTTACATACTCTTTGTGAGGCAATGATCTGAACAGCTGAGGCACCAGAACTTGATTAGTAGTGACAGACATTGCTCCTTTAATTGGAAAAGTGCAAGGTTATTCTTCTTTTTCGCCCACGCAAAACAAACCTTTTGAGCATTCCAGACCTTCCTCACATCCGTATTTTCTTACAGCTACGGATCCTATCAAAAAAGGAGCAATAAAATGTCCTGAACAAAATTTCTTTGAACTGTTTTCATTAATTCAGTAGTTCCTCACCTTTAAGGACCTGACCATGTAATGAATAAACGGCAGCTATTTTCAGAATAAAGGGTTTTCTTTCAACTACTGTGGTCACCAGAAATGGCCTTACTTCCTGATTCTTTTCATTTCCCTTGTTTTTAGCTGAAACTAAAACTATTAGATGGAAGCTAGACAGAGAGCTTTGAACATCAGTTCTGTGATCAGCTATTAAAGCAGTCCAATTTCAGCTGTGTTCAAACACTGCTTTCCTGTCTTGTCTGGGAAGTGCCTGCCAATTCATTTTTCTACTCTTATCAGCAAAGCCCATATACTGTGCTCATGTTTCTTAATATAAAACAGAGGGAAAATCCCCAAGCTGTCAGGAGGTCTGTTAGCTTAAATACAGCCCACATCTTTGCTCTCATCCCATTGTATACTTTCATTTGCTCTCAACTGAAAAAAGCAGATCTACCTACCCACGATCTTGCAAAGTGCCAATCATATGAATTTGTCAGATTTTGATGAAAGGCTTCTTTAAATAAAGAATTTTATCATGGGTTCAGCGTCAGCAGCTGTACTTGATTTTAAAAGTATGTTTTCTTAAAAAAAGCATCTTTGAAGATGCAGTCTATTTTCAGCTCTGTAATAATCACAGCAACCTGACTGGGTTCAGTTCCTCTGTGTTTTGGATGACAATGTGGTACAGTGAATTGTCCTGGTGTCCATCAGGATTTATTGCATATATTGAGGCAGTCAATGGTTGAAATAAATTCAAATCCATTATAATTTTGTTGCTTAAAAAAAAAAAAAAAATACATCTCTGCATTTCTAACAAGGAAAAGTAATTTTATCTTCCCAACATGTTAAAGCAGCATGTCTGTACCTTGCTTAGGCACAGTCCTTTCTCTCAGTATTACGTAGGTTAAACATAAATTTTATCACAAAAGGGAGGACAAAATAATAGACTGTGTTCAGTGCTTATCACTTTCGTTACACGCCATGGCCTTCCTACCCTCCAGGCATTAATGGTAGAGAATGAATGGTCTCATCCTGAAGGCTGCTCACCTGCCTGCGCTTCCCCACCCGCTCTGCACAGCATCCCTGGTTAACCTTTGGCGAGTCATTCACACTTACGTTTGGGGACTTTCTAATTCTGTTGAAATTGCTAATACTTTGTCGATCTGGTATGCAGCCCCTTATTCCCTCTCCTTCCCGAGACCATCTCAATTCTTGTATGGTGTTGTGACGTCAAAGTACAGAAAGTATGTTGTAAAAAAAGAGGATTATTAATTGAGTAACGGTATGATCTGTTAGTTAGGGGACCTGTTATTCAGGGCAGAAGTGTGGGTGTTTCTGTGGTTGAGACGCTAAAGACGTTTAGGTCCCACTCCCCTCTTGACCTGTGGCTTTGGCAGGCGATGGGCAAGACAGACTTCTCTCCATCTTTTGAACAAGCAAGACAAATTTAGCTGATCTAGCAGTCACTTGGCCAAGCTAGCATGAGTCACAGCAGCCTGCCAAGAGGTGAGATGTGTTAGCTCCTGTATCTTACCAGTGCGTGATTTCTGGACTGAAGTGCTTGAGGCCACAGAGAGCAGAACAGACCAACCTGCCTACCACCAGCTGTGGAGCTGCAGCCTTGCTTTCTCTGTGTCCTGCTCCCCATCAGTAAATAAGTGATTTCAAAAGGGAAAGGACCATATAATGCCACTGGTAGTTTTTCTACTGATATGTTGCACAGCCTTGAGCAGATCAGTTTGAGATTCTCCATCTATACAAGTTTGACAATGATGCATATCTTTCTGTGCAATGTGCTGTGAGATTTGGGAAGAAAAATGCTGTCGGAGAGTTAAAGTGTTCTTAGTCTTAACTCATTTGTTGTACCTAATCCAAACGCATATTGGAGCTTCAGGGCAGAAATTGGAAATTAATATCTCTTTTGTTAAACTACTGTGGGCCTATCAACAGCAAACTAATGAAACAAAACAGAGGATTTCCTCCCCTCAACCTGCGCCAGCCTGCTAGTGGGGGTATGAGCTCTCACACAGCAGCTCAGCCTCCAACGGTGGGCTCACAAAGCATGCCCCTGCAAACCGCCATCCTCCTCAGCTTTTTCCAGTCCGTGGTTTACATACTTAGGGAAGATTAGATAGGACACAACATTGTGGCTGTTTTCCATATATCCACAAGACCATTTTCAGGGTATCATAGATTCATACAATAATACGGGTTGGAAGGCAGCTCTGGGGGTCATCTAGCCCAATCTCCCATTCAAAGCAGGGAGAACTTTGAAGTTAGATGAGGTTGCTCAGAGCCTTGTCCTGTTAATTTTGACTATCTCCAAGGTTTCTGCAACCTCTCTGGGCAACCTGCTCCAGTGTTTAACCACTCTCGGTATTTTCTTCCATATACCCAAATAGGATTTATTTTGTTGCAGCTTGTGTTCGTTGACTCTTTTTCATCTTCTTTATAACCTACAACCCTCTTTTTGGGGGTCTTGGGGTTATCTTGTCTAGATAGAATTTTTTCAGAAGCCTCTTATATGATGTATACTTCCCTAGGAAATAATTTTTTGTTTGTTTGGTTTTTTCACATTATTCACAGTAAATTTTTAAGAAATTATTTAAATTGAGGCAGAGATTTTTGAGATAAGCCAACAAAAGTCAGATTCCAGAGAAACTTGATGGGACCTGGCACATGTTTTGCGCAAGCTCCATTCATCTCCTTCTGCCTCCCATGGCATTTCATTTTTGGACCAATTCTAATGATATATGCTTCAGAAATTTCAAATTGCATTAAAAAAAGTTCCTTGTTCTTTAGAGCAGAAATATTATACAAGTGAGAGAAGGGGCAGAGCAATTCAAGTATGTATGGGACTGCAAAGACGAGTTGAAGGAAACATGCTTGATAATTCGCATGCAAAGGAGCAACTCTGGACATGGTTAGGGAACTGCATGATATAAAGATACCTGATGGGAAATAATCCAATCTGTCAAAGCTCCAGGACAAACAGTACAGCAGGATGTCACAGAGTGGAAAGAAAAAGCTGGAAGTAAAACAAAAATGTGTCCAAATTAATGCTGGTCAGGGCCATTAAGGGCTGTTGGTGCCCTCAGGTCCCCGACACTCTCATCCTCAAATCTCTAACAGCGTTTTCTAATCAATGCATTTCTGTCGATCCTCCCAGGTGCTGAAATTCGTCCCTGAGGCTGGGCATCCCAGAAGAAAAGGCAGAACCAGGAACAACATGGCTTTAGTAGATATTCAGCTGGATCACCATGAGCGTTGTGATTGTATTTGCAGTTCAAGACCACCCCGATAAAAAATAAATAAATAAATAAAAGAAAAAACCAAGACACACTAACTGCAGCTTACCGGACGTTTACTTTTAAGCAGGATTGCTCTGAGGACCTTTACTCATTAATCATTTGAACTTTGCTACTAGCCTGCCTTTGCAATTAGCGAAAATGATCGCTGTGTTTCAGCATAGCTGTGCTGATTAGTGCCATGGCAGCTAAACAGGTATATCATAGATTTATGTATCAGCATCCAAGAATATAGGATTATGGTTATCTGTAGCTAGATTCTGAGGGTTGAGATTTTCAAAGCACACTGATAGTCCGTAGGCCCACAATGCCCACTGAAATTAAACACCAGTTGTGTAGGTATTTGTGGTAGCTGGCAATCAAATAGCGTTGTGTTTCTGTTTCTCACTCACCAGTTCCTACATTCAAATTCTGCTGCCATTTCTACCTGCTCAGCTCTCCTGGTGGTCAGTAGGGTTTTGTGGGTATAAGGGAAGAGAGAATTTGAGCCTGCATGAGTGTAAAATGGTTTGTCTGGCTCCGAGGGAGAACCTCCCAGCGTTCCCGCCCAACAGAGTGAGATGTAATGAGGAAAATCCATCACTACATGAAACAACACGCCAGTAAAGTCAAATCTCACTGTTTGTACTCGAGCAAATCGTGTGCTGAAATTAGTAGATGCTTTGCATAAGCTGGGACACGGGTGGTGGTAGGGGGGTGTGGAGGCTGGTACTTTTGCCACGGGAGCCATTGCCCAGGCGCTTCTGCAAGAGGGGGCTCCTGCCCCGTCCCCAGGTAAAGCCCTGTGGACTGGGGCTGATTCTGGTCTCTACCTACCTGGACTGGACTCCTGCCCCTTGCCCAGAGCTGCCCGCAGTTGCCCAGGGGGAGGCCCCTCGACACGAAAAGGGAGAGACAGCCCTCCCCCTGTATCCTCCTCGCTGCAGTTCGAGGAGTGCCGTGTTTCCCCAAGCAGGCAATGAAGATAGGGCACTTGTTTCTTGAAAATATTGATTTGTTTTGCAGTTGTGTTACTGGGAAACAAAACTGTGCTTGAGATTTAATTATCATTATTTGGTTTGGGGTTTGTTTGTTTGTTTTAAATATGGATTTTTATAACTTCGTCATATATGCATTAATCTTAGTTATCTGAGGTTAGTTGTCTCATTTCAGCTCTGTGTATTGCCATGGTTAAACTGTTGACAGTGAATTTCTTTTTGATTGCATTTTGCTGAGGCATATTAACTCATTAAGCAATGTCTGTCTGTCATGGAAAATGTGCATCATTTATTAACTTCCAGAAAAATACTATTAAACACCACCTCATAATAAAATAAGCACTTTAAAAGCTACAGCATAGCTTTCTGTGCCTTTTAAAATATTATGAAAGTGCTCTAGCTGAAAAAGGAAAAATAAAGCTTTAAAGGTTTTAAAGGTTTTAAAATGCTGCTCCAAAAGTGTAAAATACAGGCAGATTTAAGTCTGGCAAAGAATTGGAGTTTTGATCATGAATGTATCAGAGGGAATGGGGCGGCACATTTAATGGCTAATCTTTTATATTTAATAGCAGACAAAGGTTGCATCGATTCATCTTGTTTGTGTTGCCTCTTGAATTTCTATCTCTCTGAAAGAGCAAAGTAGTTTGACAATAGTGCATTATAATTAGTGGAAACTGGCACGTGCTATATAATATTGAGAGCCTTTAAGCCAGTATGTTTTAGCAATCTACAATTTTGTTATAAAAGTGCCCTAATGTTCTGACTTACCCTCTTTATCAGCTCAAGTATTTTATAAGTGCTCTTTCATAATTTTAGCAAAACTTTGCTGAAATATCCCTTAGAAATGTTGTATTACTTTCTTTCCTGTACTTTAGCCTTTGAGATTCAAAATTTTATTATTTATATTAATTTTTCCTCTCTGGCTCCCAGATGTCTATTTAAAAATGCTCCCGAATGCTGACTTGGGAAGTGATTCATCACTTTTCAAAGCAATTCACATTAAAAGAACAGCACTGTAACCAAAGATTGCCAGCTTCGTTTCCTATTTCAGGACTATTTAAAGAAGACTTCATTTTTTTCTTTCTCTAGCTTAATAACAAGACTGACCCAGCCCTTCCATAATTTTCAACTAATTTTGGCAGAAATTTGCATGCGAGACTTTGGCAGTACAGATTGTTTTTGAGACAGTGCACTCTAATGTGTGTTCCTGACTGCATTATGCCTGAATTATGCCTAAGCACTCTGGCCTCGTAGTTAGCTGTGGTTGTAGGAAACATCAGTTTCATATGGCTTTGTGCTTTGAGTGGTCCTTTAGTTCCCATTCCCCAGGCGAAAATGTGCACCAGGCACCCGCTGCGCCCGGCGTCTCCCACGCACCTCTGCATGCTCACCCAGTCGCCAACCCAAACAGCTGTGTGTTGGGGGGCAGGTTTACGCCTCCTCATTTTGGGGATCCAGCCTTATCTGGGAGCCTGAGTCACTCCTACAGATAACGGGGAGAGAGGCTCTCCCGAAGTGTGCCTTGGACCCCAGGTTGAAATCGCCCAGCGTGTAAGGTAGATGGTATGAATACTCATTTTAAAGACTGAGCAGCTAATAGTTTAGCTAACTGCATTAGATACAGGCAGGAGTGGATGCCAGGGTCTAGCAGAGAAATTCAGCTGTAAAGTAAAAAGAGATTGGTATAATAGGGATTATCCTCCTGCTTAATGTTGGGTTTACTTTCTTAAATAGAGGCTAAACTTGTCACAAAATTTAAAGTATTTCTCCTGGGACACTTAGTAATGAATGGAACCATTCACTGCTTCATGCTGCCGTCTGCCATAACGACAGTATGCTCCAGGCCGGTGCAGGAGAGTTAAGGATGGGCTTTATGTTGCAATGTGGGAATGATAACATAGATGTGAACTAAGTAAAACTCCCAAAATCCCAAGCCCTGAGCTGCATTGATCCTGGTGAAACCAAATACCAGCAAAACTTTTTATTTATTAGCAGAAATTGCAGAGATGTTTGTCCACACCTTTATTTTCTCTTTTGTATATGTAATAACTGATATTATTTACATATTGTTGTAACTTAAAAAGCAATGCTATTAAAAAAACTAATCTAGTTCATTTTTATTGGTGGAATTGGAACCCCCAAAAGAAATAATACATTTTCAAAGGAAACTCATAAAGATTCCTGGTTTCAAACCACTCGCTAGCTTTTTATTTACCGTATTCTTCTGGGATAGAGCCTACTTTCTCAAGTGCAATCTATATTTTTTGGTTTTGTTATCTCAGTTAAATGCAGCTTTTCTAGCAGTATTTTTTACTTTATGCAGTATGTAATGTGTCATATCTTGATGAAAAAATAAATACTGCTTTTGAAAGAAGGTACTCTGAGTGATTATTCAGAATTCAGATGAACTAAAACCCTGGATTTACTGGAGGACATTTCTACAACATGAGACCATCCATGCTGGGTCTCCTTGTGAATTTTAGCAGTCATTCCCAGGAGCATCAGGGAAGTACCAAAGTGCAGTTTTGGGATAATCGAGTTTGAACCCCTGAGCTGAAAGAGCTGACAGCTTCCTTGCGAAGCAGCGGCACAGCATTTCTGGTAGCCGGATTAGGGTGCTCCCCCGGGCTCGGTGCGGGTCTCAGCCCCTGCGGGCTTGGCTTGGCTCCAGCAGAGATGTCCTCGCTTGTCCTACTGAAGCTGCTCCTTACTGGCAAAGGAGGCTCCTGCTGGAGCTCCGCATCTCACCTGAACCAGGGCAGAGCTAAGCACCCATTTGCTGTGTAGGGCAGCTGGAGGAACCTAAAGCCTCTCGAGATGGGGAAATTTAATCTACCCTTGTGGGTTCGGGCATTTCCCCCGGCAAATTGTGTTGTGTTGCATTTGGAACATAACTTTTATAGCTTTGATAACTAACTTTCCATTTAAGGTTCTTGTTTTAAGCTAAAGCCTGCCTTAGGCTTTCACTGGATCTTGGACTGAATAGGACAGGAATTTTTTGCCAAATTAATTCTTCACTAGCTAGATGCCCTGTCTGATAAGGGAAATACAGATAGCATACAGTCCGGGGATCCAGCTTTGCAGCCTGTCCTCATGCATGTGTGCCTTGTTCTGTACGGTAATGCCACTGACCTGGAACAGTCATCCATTCAGGTGAGCATATTTATCCCCTTTGGTTTGGTTCTTGTTACTCAGAGAAAGAATTCATATATCTTTTCTTTTTTTTTTTTTTTTTTTGGGGGGGAAGGGGCAGTCAGAAGAGACATTTCCTAACAAAGGAAGCAGTTCTCTGTGTACAGTGAACAAAGACATATTTAATGGGTGGAGGAGACATTTTTTGCCCTTCAGAAATGCACTGAATACACTGTGAGGACAGCAGCTCAGCAACTGCTAAGTGTCCAAGGATGGCATAAAGCTCCTCCCATCTGGCATCACGATGTACCTTGATAACTAACAGCTAGGTAACATTAACAGTTTGTCCTTGTGCTCACATGAGTGACAGCTTTTATAAATCCGCAACATGAAATGTAGCTCTGTGTGTCTTCAGCTGAAAAAGTATGTGGTTCCTGAGGTCATTCAGGAACTCACCATAACCTTTTTTTAAAAATAATGTATTTTTTAAACATTCTTCTTCCCATTTTTCAAGAACACGAAATCTTCTTCTAACTGATTTTAAGATCTGCAACAGCTATAAAAACACTTCCCTGCAAATTCATTTAAGATTTCCTTTGCTCTTTTCTGGGGTGCATTGCCCAGTCACACTGCTGTAATGAGAATTCAACAGATGTCCAATTTGTACTTATTCTCCTGGGGATTCTGGTGCAGCAGCTAATGAAAATGCAGAAATTAATATTCTGGTCTCTCATTCTAAGAACTTTAACTTTGTTTATTGATAGTCTTGGTCAAATATGCTGAAATACATAACATTCGTAATTTATTTGGTCATTCATTGACAAGCCTTGAAAATCTGCCTTAAGTGTTTAAAGTGTAAATTCAATTTTTAATTTCTTTTCAGACTT